AGCCTCTCTCGACTGCCGGGCCGCATGGCCCGAGCGCGGCCGATCCGAACGGGCGAGACCGAGTGTTACGACATGGAAATTCAGATGCTTCTTGGCTTCCCAGACAAGAAGAGGAGACGTGGGTATATAAAAAGCACCAGACAAAAATATCTGTTGTGGAAACGGCTTTTCTCATCAGTTTGTCTTCACGCAGCAGTTTAGGTTCCAGTAACAGAGCAGCTCGGAGGGAACGGGATCCCTTGAGCAGCTTTGGGAGACAGCCCGCTGCAAACACAGGGAGAAGAATCCCCGGGATGAGCTAATAGCAAAACCATAACCCTTACGAGAAACCCACAGGCCTTTGCTGCCAGCTGCACTGCAAGAACCTGCGAGCCTTACACGACAGTTCCAGAGTAGTGCAGCAAGAATTACGTTCAGAGCCTCATCTACCAGCTCTGCCGTGAGCCAATTCGAAAGGGAAGAAAAGCAACCGGCCAAGCCCAGCTCTAATGAGACTGTAAGCAACAGCGCAACCAGAAGACTGTAGAAGGTAAAGCCATCGGGGGGTGGGCAGGCCAAAAAGGCAGCGCGTGGGGACTGCGCAAATGCTCTGCAGAGCGGAGGAGTCTTTGCCGACGGCCTGAACCGGCGGAGACCCGAGCGTCCCGGGAGAACTGCGCACCAGAGCCGAGAGCAGCAAAGCTCAGGATCTCCCGAGCTGGAAGACACGAGCGTTTCCAGCCCCAGTCTAGACTCATTCAGGAGGACGGAGCAGCGCTGCTTTCCGCGCTCCTGCATCAGCCCGGGAAGCACACGGGCACAGCAGAGGCTGGCCCCCGGCGGAGGCAGGGGGGAGCTCGGGGGGCATACGCCAAAGCACCAGCAGACGTCGGACACCGGCGACTGATTTCACCTACCAACTTGTTCCTGAGTTACTGTCACCGTCGGGAGAGAGGAGATCTTCTCCTTGTCGGCTGGAGGTGGTCCCGTGTTTTCCAACTGCCCCAAGAGCTGTGGAGGAGAAAACAGGCTGTGCTCAGGAGCGGGGACAACGGCTTTGCCGTGCAGAGCGTCGGCAGACAAGCGGGGAGAGCGCTACGTCCCAAAACCAGCCAGCCAGGCACGAGCAGCCCCGCACGGGCTGTCCCTGGGGGCCATCCCTGCCGGACACATTCCCGCTGCTCAACCCCCGGAGCAAGCTCAGGCCCCTTCACCCTAGTTTAGCGCACAGGTGACCGTCCCCTCCTCTGCCGCAACATTTTCGGCGTTCAAACCTTACTTCCATGCCTCCAATCTTGACGACCCCACTTCTAATATCGCTGCCTGCCAGGTATTTTCTCTTGCATCAGCAGTCGGGAGGCTGAAGGGTCTGGGTGGCACGGGAGACATTGCCACAGACACGGGGGAGGGTGCTAAGCTACTCCTGGAGGATTTTGAACCGAAAGGGAGTCG